CTCTTTGCTGAGCTGTTCCGCGACGAAAACAATGTTGAGCAATGGCAATGTCGAATGGTGACACTCGGTAAGTAATCCTACAATTTTTTGTTTATAGCGTAGTTTATACGGATTATTCCCAAAAAATATATACGTATTTTGGAAATGTTGAGTCGGATTAGTCTAGAATCGATTAATTTTATGGAAGAAAATCTTTCAAACAGCCGTAGTCCGTAAACTTGACACGTGTCGGGTTGTGATTGGAAGGATTCGTAAGAAATCGGATTCTTAAACAATGGAACGTATCTCTATCTTATAGGGGGGTCGACTGTATTATTTTAAAAAAACCATTATATAATTAATTATTATGAAATGCTAATACAAGTATAATCACTATTAAATTAAACCCTACTAGAAATAGACACCTTTTTTTATAGATGTTTTGAATTAAAGTAACGTATAATTTTTATCTCATTGTTATATTTTTAATGTTCATTATTAATTATCGTAAGATAAAAGTAATAAACTATCCTTAGAGCAGTTACTAGAAAATATCGTGAAAACCTATCTTATATACATTCTTAGAAATGTATTTTTATTAGAAGATTCAGTTTCACAAATTCGTAAAATTGTGTTTATACAGTTGGATGAGCGAATTAATCATATAGCCTGTCATATTTCATAGAAATGATGTCACAGAAATGTACTATATATATTATTATTATTTTTACTTTTTTGGCTATTATATCTAAAAGAGGAAACAGCAGGCCATGCGATCAGTCAAGAAACCATCTCCAATATTTTTACATTTTAATACTTAGTGAAGTGTGAAACGTCTTAATTAATATAATATCAATGTTTAATAATATACTAAATGCATTAATGTATTTAATTATTTGAATTCGAATAGCTCAATACTTACAATAATTTTGTATTTTAAACTTGTTTTAAGTGTTTTACCCCCAAATAAACAGTTACTATTGTGACTAGCCGGGGGATAAACTTTTTTGGAGTTTGTGTACCACTTAATCGGCACAGATTAAGTGAAAACTGTCTTAGGGTTTCGGATCGAGAGATCCGATCTCTAGTCGAAGGATGGCCTTGAACTAACTGATGTCATCATCCTGACAAGGATTTGAATCTCAAGATTTGGATCCGTTAATTAATCAGATTTATATTACGCGGATTAACACGCGTATTGAACCATGAAGGAGATGATGAATTATTTTTAATTCAGATAACGTAAGAGATATTTCTTTAACAAATAAAAACAAATATCTAATGAACTAAAACAAACAAGATTATACAAAATTGAATCTTCGAGTAAAGCTATTTCGAGAGAGAGAGCTCACAATTTCTATCAAAATCATACCACATCTAAATATCTTTATCTTCTTTTGTCTTTCAGATTAATACGACTGTTATTTCTTAATTAGTTCTTTAACGGCACATATTTAAACAATTTCTTCTCTAGTTTTACCGACTTATACTCATTTTGTAGAAGCTTCTAAATTCGGTTTTGGGCGTTGGCCTTTGGGAGATAATATGGAATACGTCTGTCCTCTTCTGGATCTTTCGGCATACTCCTCGAATAATGTAAAATTCTTTCTGTTACTGACGAATGTTCACCAATCAGCACTTCGTATTTTTCCACATGAACAGGGAAAAAAAGGGATTTTACCGAGGGGTTGACAGTTCCCAGGGTGACTAAGATTTTTGGAAGATAACGGAAGATAAAAAGGAAGTCGATATTCCGTTGAAGAAAGTGACTTTTATCAGTTTCCTTCGTTTTAGAAAATATAATTTTCCTATCAAAATCATAGAATATTTTTGACTAAAATTTTAATTAATGGTGGTTTGTATCTCACATCATTATCATTGATTTTTAAAATTTTGAAAATGACTTGTAGAACAGGTTTGTTACAGTTAACAAATAATTCTCACTGAGATAAACTGTTATTGTGTACGTAAAATTTTTCAGGTAGTTTCTTCATAAAATTTTAAGATTTTTGACAACTTTTTTTGAAACATTCCCTATGGATAACACGAGTTTAAATTATTTAAACACTAGAAGTTTGATGTAAATTGGGATCAGATTATTTTCCGGATGTTGTTTATTATTAAGTGAAAGTACAGTAGAGCCTCGATTATCCGACTCAATTGGGAACTGGGGTTGGTCGGATAATTGAAAAGTCGGATAACCGAAAAGTATGAAAAAATTCATTATTATTGTAGTATATTATTATATCCCATGTAGTTAGTATATTAGTATATTAGTATATCGCTATTAACCTACTTCGCGTTGAATTTTCATCGATGTTAAGCCTAACAAAAATTTTTAAAATAATAATCGTCACTATTGTATCGTTACAAATTAGAAAATTAAGCCTCGTTTAAATACTGGCTCCCTTTCATGGTCGAATGAGTGTTGCCAGCTAAAACACGTAAAAATAATATTAAAATAGCCAAATATTGTAGCGCTACATCACTAGCGGACATTTGAAATTTGCCGACTAGGACGGTCGGTTGACCGAGGTGTCGGTTAATCGGGGGTCGGATAATCGAGGCTATACTGTATAGTTAACATTTTCAAAATAATTTATTTTTAAGTTTGTTCAATAAAATTTTATAAACAGCAGTTTTTTTTAAACTGTTTCTACTAAATTTAATTTTATATAGATTAATGTTTGTAAATTGTGTTTTAGTTAAATACGTAATTTCGACGATTATTATTATAATTAAATAATATAAATTATTGAATTTAACCTCCTCAACGAAAATTTTACTCAGAATTTTGAAAACAACTTTTAAATTTTCGTAAAATTACTCAACTGTATAAAAAGTATATTATAAAAATAATTTAATTTTTTCTAATATTTTCTTCCTTTCTTCTATTAAATGTCAGATATTTTCTATTTGAAGGAATAATATTTATTTTCTACGATTATTTAACTCTTCAACTTTTTTTTATCTTTAATTCCAATATCAACATTGTAAAATAAATTGAAATAAGATTATAAAGCAAAAAACTTTTCACTTATAGCGATAATACTTATACTGACTAAATATATATATATTACTTATAATACTTACTTTCCATCGACAAAACATAGTTGCAATTTGCTAAAAGTAAGAGAAACAGAAAGTGTAACATTGCTCACTATTACCCTCAATAACAAAGAATTTTCTCTGTGTTTACGTCAATGTGACCTAATTAAACTGAAAATTGGTTGTTGTTTGTGCAGCTATGGAAACGAAATAAAATTAAAAATTACACTTTATTCAAATTCGTGAGAGTTGTGTACCAGATTTAAACAATCGATATATAGTCATTTATTTTCAAAACAATATATAGTTTTGTTTATTGTTTAAAATAAAGACAATAATAAAAAATAACTATTTCTTAGATAGTATATATATTTTTAAAATCACAATGTAATTATACTGCTGCAATTTCATGTCTTTGTCTCAGCACAACTAATATTTGTTAAAAATACACTTGTAAATAAGAAAAAAAAAACTTTGAAAATAAAACTATAATCAATATACGAACAGAATTATTCACTTGTTTCTGTTCAGCACTAAATATTTACTTGTGTTTTTTTACACTGCACTCAATCTGAAACGACAATCACGCGTTATCTTATGCTTGACAGAATTATAAACCCTTAAAACACTTAAATACAATTCTCGATAATCAAAATACGTATTTGTTTTCAGAACAAATTACAGTTTTGCACAACTAGACAATAAAATTAATTACGAACAACTATTTTGGTTTTACTATTTAATAGAATATGAATCGGTTTAAATTTAAAATCTTATACGAAATGGTACGGTGCAATTATTTTAAATGTAGCTTATTTAATTGTTTACGAAAAATATGAACACTTAACAGTTACATAATGCACTTTGAAATTCGATAACTGTTCATATTTTATTCAAAACAATTCACGAATTGTAATTAAAATAAAGTAAATAAAAACATTTTTCGTATAGCCCAAGCAAGTATTTACACTTCATTTGTCCACTAATATTTTTTATACATTAAATTTATTGTAAGTTAATAAACCTAAATTAAATTCTCAAGTTTACAAATTTACCACGTTGTATTTGCTGAGAAAAACATTTTATTCGATCAATATTGTAGGTTATTGATGTTGTGACTAAATGACTACAAAATAAAATTCAATAATAACTATTTTTGCATTTTGCAGTTACAATAAATAGTTATTATAATAATTACTGTTTATGTTAAATAAAAATAGTACTTTACAATATTTACAATAAGTGCTATTTAATATTTTGTTTAATATAATGAATTATAATGATGTGTTAGGTATGCATTTACTGGACTGTATATGTTGCTTAAACCAAAATTAACGTTTTGGTTTCACTTTAATATTTGTAGAATAATTTAATAAAACACAATAACAAGTAATAATGTAACTAGGCTAATTTTATTGTTAAACTAGCTGGTGTACCCTGCTTCCGCTCAGGGAGTTCATACGAGATGGTGTGGTAGTTGGAATAAAAGGATAAACTTTAAAATATAAGAGATAAAAAATTTTATTGAAAACATATTCTATTTACAATACTTGTTTATAAAAAACATTTTCATTTTCTTATCCGGATGTACAAATTTTTCGAATTTCCTACTCGAGAGCAAGCTACGTATAGTTGACCACGAGAGAAGCAGGAGACTTTGAGGTTGATGCCGCAATGTTTTAAAGTGTTCTTGCGCTTTGTTAATTATAAAACTATAGGCAAATTTAATTGGAAATTGCTGTCTTTTAAATTGTAATGGCTGTTCAGTAGAGATCATTGGTATTCTCAGTATAAATACTGTGTGTCTTTTGTTTTTTCCAGTCATAAGTTCGGCTTCGATGATGTTATTCGATAGCTGTTTGACAATCATCTTTGTTCTGTTACATAGTTTTGGTGAGTTCAGATTTCTGAGTAGTATGACCGTCTGAAAATACTTTTTAATTTAGAAAGTTTTTTAGGAGAAGAAACGATAGAAATGGTTTCGTCAGCATCAAAAGAAGGAAAAAAAAAAAAAAACAGTAAAATCCGCTCTACCTTGTAACACTATTGATTATCGAGAAATGACTATTAAAAATAATTACATTGAGGAAAATCTTGATACTAAATATCAAAATTTTATAATACATCGGTGAAAACATTTTGTTTATTTTGGAATTCTTTTAGTGCATAATGTCGTCATATTCTTATGATAAGTAAATATAATAATTTGGACATATTTTCAAAAACTTGCTTTCATGCAAGATATATTATTTCAATGAAAGTGCACTAAGTATAGATACAGATGATGTAAATGTAGACATCAATGATAATATTCAAGATGAAATTCTTACTGAAAATTTTTGATTGTCCCAACAAAATACTTTCGGATAGGGAATAATTCAATACGGCACTAGCGATAACTAAAAATATTTCAGATATTTTGCCTAATTATGGAACGCAAACCTTCAATAAACATGTAGAGGAATTAAAAGTAATAGAAAGCAATGCAAGAAATGGAATTTTTTTTTTAACACGACAGTAGTGGGCTTAGTACAATTGAACCGGAAGAACCTAAAGAACAAATTCGGTCTAATAACGAGCCCTGTTCAAATCAATCAAATAAGAACTTAAAATTAAAAATAAAAATTAAATGCAAAGGATGTCCGAAGAGAAAGACTAAGCAGACCACTCTTTACGAAAAAAAAATTAAAATACAGAATAAAAAATAATATATTTATTTTAATTTATTGGTATACCTGTTACCGCTAAAGCTCGAAACTTGTTAATCAGATTAGCTAGGTAATCTGCAGATTAACTAGGGTGATCTGTTAAAGTTGTGAAAACTGTTTCATGTCTCAAATTACCTAGATAATGTGCAGAGTATCTAGGTAATCCGCACATTACCTACTAGGTCTTCGGTAAAGTGAAAATAACATCTTTGCCACAAATAAATGTACCACAAATAGGTGTGCTTGTCGCAGAAACCAACTGCTATGAAAATCAAAGTGTCACCAATCTTTAGACTGCACTAATAAGTAAGCACAATTGTTACATATGGTGAGTAAAATAGCGGCTCGTCTCTGATTCCAGCAAAGAGAAGAAAGGAAACAGTGGGGACGCACGTTCAAACCTAACCTAACCTATTCTAATAATTTGGTTGGTAATAATTATGGTAATTTATTAGAATAGGTTAGGTTAGGTTAGAACGTGCGTCCCCACTGTTTCCTTTCTTCTGTTTGCTGGAATCAGAGACAAGCCGCCATTTTACTCACCATAGGTAACATTAACTGCACAATTATATCATGCGATCACCAGAAAAAGTATGATAACTTTATTATTTTTCGTCTCCGGTCCAAAAGTAGGGTATCGTTGAAGTCGTCTCGGTCCCCTCAGTTCAGATAGATACTCAAAGTCCCGAAATTCCATAGGTGGTTATCTATATAATAATTTCCCTAATTGTATTAATATTTTAAATCGTTTGATTTTTTGTATGTTTTTTAATTGGTTGATGATTGATTCTATCAACTAATTTGTCGATTGTTTGATTGTATTAACTTGATTCTTTAGATATCGAAAATTAAATAAAGAACATTATGTTAATTTAAGCGTACAGAAACGTTGCTGTTGTTTCAGCAAAGATCTTATTTTCACTTTACCGAGTGCCTAGTAGGTAATTTGCAGATTACCTAGATAATCTGCACATTACCTAGGTAATTTGAGAAATAGAACAATTTTAGCAACTTTAACGGATCACGCTAGTTAATCTGCAGATTAGCTAGGTAATGTACACATTAACAACTTTCGAGCTTTAGCGGTAACATATATATAAATGGGCGTGTTTGTGCCTATATTTCATTCTGCAGCCAAAACTACACATCGCACATGAGTGGTGTTTATCTTTGGTAGTAGCTCCAAGTCTCCCATCGTGCACTATGGTGGTTGCGTTTCGATAGCTATAAGGGTGTGGGCGATATGGGGGTTGAAAGTAGTTCACTTCGAAAATGTGTGACGCTTCAATGAGAATGTTCCAGTTGTTTTAGAAAGTTCTGAGACATAGAGGTGAAATTTGATACACAGTTAAGGTACGTCTTGAAAATGCACATTAAGAAGAAATTTTTAGAAATTCCCCCGCGAGAGGGGAAGGGAGAGCATTAAAACTTAACCTGAAGAACGGCTTCTACTGTAATATTTCAGATGCAATTTTTTTGTTTTTAATTACGTTTTCGTCTTCATTGAGTACTTAGGTGTATTTAACTCATAACATTTCAAACATTGTTATAAATATTTTTTATATATTTCGATTTTTTAACCAAATGTTCAAACCGTTTTAAATTCGAATTTCCTTTTTTCATATTGCTTCGATTATAGAACGATTGCAAACGTTCCAGAATTTTGTCAAATTAAAAGCAGTTCGTTTGATTCTCAGCAAATTTCATCATTCCAAGCGGTAGGTGTTATATAACAATTACCACGGTTGTTAAAATATTGAATGTAAATAGGGTTTGCTTGCAAAATCTGCGCGAGCGAAACCGCGGGTAACAGCTAGTTTCCTTATAAAAGCAAAACTTTAATTAAATTAGCAGACTGTTTTGTATAATTGAATCACATAAGTTGCATATAAAAAATAGACAAATGCTTCTGTATCAGAATAAACGCAAATTTTTCTGTATTAAAACAAAGATTTAGCCGAAATGAATAGAAAGTGTTTAAGCAATTTTGTTCAAATTTAACATAATTCAGTAATAAGTAAGAATTGCTGTCTTTTAAATTGTAATGGCTGTTCAGTAGAGATCATTGGTATTCTCAGTATAAATACTGTGTGTCTTTTGTTTTTTCCAGTCATNCAAGTCTCCCATCGTGCACTATGGTGGTTGCGTTTCGATAGCTATAAGGGTGTGGGCGATATGGGGGTTGAAAGTAGTTCACTTCGAAAATGTGTGACGCTTCAATGAGAATGTTCCAGTTGTTTTAGAAAGTTCTGAGACATAGAGGTGAAATTTGATACACAGTTAAGGTACGTCTTGAAAATGCACATTAAGAAGAAATTTTTAGAAATTCCCCCGCGAGAGGGGAAGGGAGAGCATTAAAACTTAACCTGAAGAACGGCTTCTACTGTAATATTTCAGATGCAATTTTTTTGTTTTTAATTACGTTTTCGTCTTCATTGAGTACTTAGGTGTATTTAACTCATAACATTTCAAACATTGTTATAAATATTTTTTATATATTTCGATTTTTTAACCAAATGTTCAAACCGTTTTAAATTCGAATTTCC